TCTGCTGGTGCTCTGGCTCTGTGGTAATTTTGGATAAATATTGATTTAACTTTCAGGTAAGTGATGCTTTGAAAGGACCTGATAAATCAAGGCGTATATTTCATGGTAGTCTTATCAAGCTGATATCTTGCAGAGGCAGCTTTTCCAAGAAGCTGAAGCATGTCAAATGTTTTTATACCATGATGCAAATCTATTGCAGTATAAGAATGTTTACATGAGGCACCAATTCTTGCCTTTTCAAGAAAATAATGTTTAAGATACAGCATATTTATCAAATGTTTATAGGGTTGCTAGTGGTTGCTGTTTGGATTTGAACCGAGTTTTGTTTCTTCTCTCATCTCCATTGCATGACTGATTTCACCTGAAGTTGTCCTCATCATCATTTCATCATTCGCTGTATCACTTGGATATATTTTATATTTAACCTATTTTACTGTGGTTCTGCAGCATAAAGGTCAGAATCATCCTCATGTGAATTTGTTGTTTAGCGATAAGAGTTTTGTTAACGCTCTCATCCTGCAGATGTCTCCTGATGGTGCTGCCTGTCAGTTGGATGGTCTGTCCTTAGGCAGCAATTACAAGAGAACGTGAGTAAATCTCTTATTGGCCATATTTAAACAATGTGCCACCAAATATAAAACATCCAAAGTTAATTAACATTCATTTTTTGGTCACCTGTTCACCGAAGGCCCAAGTAACAATTCAATGCTCTTAAGGGAATGCTTCAATGCAGCACATAAAGGGATAGTTCACCGAAAAATGAAAATTCACTCATTTCTACTCACAAGGGGTGGGTGAAGTGGTCGAGTCCACAAAAGCCTTCTGGGGTCTCGGGTAAACAGCGTTTTCTCAGATGTAATAAAACAGAAAAGACACAACATGCCTCCATACTGCTCGTGTGGTATCATCCAAGTGTCCGTAAGCACCAACATTCATATTTGTCTCAAAGTGGCCTCATTTACACCATGTTTTAGCCTAAATGTCCACTGTTATCCTCATCGCAAACACTCTCGCAGGCTGCGTGTTCCTGTGGCTACGTCTGCTTGCGCTAAATGACTTTTAAGCTTATAACACGGTGTAAATTAAGCTGCTTGAGTTTAACAAGAATGTCTCCAAAAGTGTTTTGTGGACTAAAACACAAATATCCCTTAAAAAACGTGGCAGAGTCGGAGAAATCGGAGCCTTGGACACATCAGTTTGAGTGAAGTCACAGTGATGGTGTTGTCTCCTGTCATCTCTTCAGGTGTTATGATAAGAGGGCTCCCCCAGTCAGCATGTCCAAGCTGCTGAGTCATGGTTATGTGGAGGAGAAGAAGAAGTCTCCCAATGACGACGATGCCTCAAGTACGACATTGTTTGTTTACAGGTTCAAGAGATGAGTTTATGTGTTTGCCAATCCTATTGTGCAATTATACATCACACACAAGTATTACCTGAGGAAAAAAAACTGTAAATATGTTAATACACTGATTTCTATAGTAAAAATGTAACTATATAAATATTGTTAATGTTAAACATTTAAACCACATTTTAAAGGCCTTGAACATCTCTCATATTAATAAGTATAATATATAAGTTTCTATAAAGAATATTGAGTTTATTTTTGCTTCAAATGTTGATTTGGGTATTTTTGCTTGTTTTGTTTTCTAGGTGTGACCTCAGAACAGAGCAGCACCATCGTGACGGAGGTGGACGATCTGGAGTAGTGTGCACAGGTCCTAGTCTGGAGGGAGAAGGGGGGTGCCGTCCTAACACTGGTTCATGGTGTCGCAAATCCACGAACACTCCGCCCGTCACAGGATTCACTCACATTAATTGTACATCCACTGACTCTTAGGTTTTGTACTCATGTTTATGCAAAAGGTACCGTCCTATCTGTTTTGCTTTAATTTATAAAATAGGAACTCACACAGGTTTCATTGAGTAGACGTGTCGGTGCTCGCAGTAATTTTTTCCGTTCAGTGTTATCGTTTCTCGGTTTGAAAGACGAGTTGTGCACAGGGCAGGAAACTAACATTTTGGTTCTGTTTATTTTACCAGCTAGTTAAATTTTAGAACTTAAAACAAGATACAGCCTCACCTGCTAAATCCTAAAGTCTCATGGGTTTGGCTGGTAGCTGTAGTTAGTTTCCCTCCCTGGTTGTATGAAGTTTGAGTTAGTGAATTTTTAAGAAGTGTTTGTGCTAATGATTTGTGGTGCCAGTGACGTGAAACATAATTTGTTTTGATCAAGGGCTCCTGCTTTCTGAAGGGACGTTAGAGGTATGCGTGTTTGCGGCTGCGGCGGTCGATATGATCATTTGTTGAGACAGCAACCCCGCAGCTATGACCACATGCCAAAGGGCAGACTGATGGCCAAAGCCGCGGCGGTTTGTGTGGTAAAAAAGGTCCAGACATGATTTTTAAGTTGCTGCGCTGCAGAAGGTTGCTCTACTCTGCTTCTTCCCCACAAATTTTTTTTATTTAAATAGTGAAACATGCAGTGGTTTAATTTGTTGGTGGATTTTTTTGTCCAGTAATCAGATTAAAAGCGCATTACAAAGAAAATGCATCTGGTAAAAAAAGGACAAAATTGATTGATTAACTCAAGTGACATTTGCAAGTTTCAATTAGAAAAACCAGCATGTGATGCAAATTCCATTCTCTCATCAGTGCTAATAAATTAGGAAGCTCATAAGTAAGACAATAACTGTGCCAAGCCCTGGATGCTGGTCCAGATGTGTCAGACGCTTGCTAGCGAGAGTTCAAAACTTCTTGCATTCTGCAAGTTAAAATGTTGCTGTTTGCAACAACGGATTAAAACATTCTGGGAAGTTGTAGAAAAGAAGCCGCCTTCTGCAGCCCGACGACCCGAAAACCAATTCCAGTGTAATGCCCTGTGAAGATTAGAGGAGTTTTTGAAAAGTGAGTTCTGAACATGCCAACCAAGCAGTTTTTTCCCTGCACACATGCAGTGTTTTGACCTAGTAGACTCCAGTAGGAGAAGTTAGTTAGTGCACAGCCTGGTCACACCAAACCCGCCATCTCATGACGTGTTTTTCTGCCGGATAAACATTTTCTGTTCAGATTAGAGAGTTAATTAATGCTGCATCATTCTTGCATATAAAAACTTCACAAGCAACTCTGAGTACTGCAGCAGCTGCATGTGAATGAATCCAGCCCAGACTGTTACCTGCATGTCATCTTCAGTCTCTCTTTCCTGCCTTTCCACTGTCACTATCATAATAAAGGCAAAAATGCCAGAAAAAAAAAACTAAAAACTTCACAACCATACTTTGAAGCAGTGAAAAATAGATTTCCTGGTGTTTGAGTGATCACAAACAATTGAGTTTGTGGTGTGATTCAAGTCCCCATTTTCCCCTGAAACAAACATACACAAAGCCTAATGGGTGCATTAAATTCCTAAATAAAAGCCAAATCAAAAATACCTTAGTTCAAATATCTTTAAAAAACTTAGGTGTCATAATGTCACTAATATTACCCAGTTTAAAACAAAAGAAGGTCAAGATTGATGCCACTTTAAAAATATCCTTTATATTAAGTTAACCTATATTTCAAGTCAAGAAATAGAAGCTGGGAAATATCTTAAGTTGCAATTAACACACGGAATTAGCATCAGTCTAATGTTTATAATGTGTAAATACTTTATGAATAGTAAGATATGGACTGAAATAGAAACAAAAATACATTCTACAGATTTTAAATACCACATAAACCAATGCAGACGACAAGGATGCATGAAAATGGTTAACGGCAGATGTATTTGTGGTGTCTATCCATTTTACTTCTGCAGGTCTTAAAAAGCACTGAACTTAGTTTGCTTCAGAGCACATTAAAGAGTCCTAAATATTTCCTGTTGTCTACTGACAGCTGTCGTGTTAGTTGTTTAAATCGTATTGAATCTTGTTTCTGGCTGCCAGGAGATGTAAATCTTATGTGAAGCACCATCACAACTGCAGCCAACACTCACTACTGCAGCTACAGTAGTGAGGAGGCTCTTCATCTCCTCAAGGGCACTTTCCAGTTTTTGGCAAAAATCGTTTCAAACATCCATTTTTAGGTTTGGTTTCTCTAAATAAGATCAACTATAGAATATGGAATTGTAGTTATACTCTGCTGAAAACGGTGCAATACAAAGGTACTGATATCATTCCATCTGGTTCTTCATACTTTGCGCTGGATGACTGAAAAATAAGTATTAAATTTAGTTTTATGTGTTTCTGAAAACTTCTTAAAAAGTATTAAATAAGTTGTCGAGCCCTACAGAAACCCCAGTGAGAGATGTGGCTTCTGAAACACTTTAACAACCTTTAGTGTTACTGAACAAATTAATAGTGGTCAAAGCAGTGAAGTAAATTTAACCCCCAATCTTTTAAGTTCAATTTAGAGCCCTGCTCTATTGCAGAGTGCTCTCAGAGTTGCCCTTGGTGTCTCCAACTCCTCCTCGGCTGCTTGCTGATGCGATTGCACTTTGACAGTTTGGCCTTGAGTCATCTAACAGTTATTTTTGAAAAGTAGCTCCAAAAACAGCGTGCGACAGTAACTCCTAAAAATCCTCATTCTGCCGGGACATTTTTCTGGTGAATGAAACGCTCTTAAATAGAAAAGGACGAGTCTAAGATTTTAAGCTCCGAGTTTGTCCCAATAAATCCAAACCCATTCACACCGCGTCACTAAATGATGCAGCAGTAACGCACTCTCATTGGAAACGGCTTTAGTTGATGTCATGTTCAGCACAACATTCTGTTTGTCACTTTTCTCCGCACAATATATATTTAAGCAGTGATGCATAATTCATCTGTATTATCTGTAGTATTAAAAAGTGTTGTTCTAAAACTATAGACGCTTTACTGTGCTTAGTGACACTGGTTCTTATTTTGCAGTACAAGGAAGGGAGAATGTATCATCTTTGGATATAGTTTGCTTCAAGGAACGGGTTTATTTCTTTTAACTGTTAAATATTCAGGTACAGTATTTACGTTTTAAAACTTAATCCTCCTCTCTCTGTGGGTTGGTGCCGTTATCAGTTTATATACCTGTAGTTGGAAACTTTTATTGGCTTAACTTTTCCAACTCCTCCCCTGAAATGTCATTACTCTTGATTTTTACTTGCAAGTGTTAAACTCTCCTCTACAAGAGAGTGAAGATTGTGTTCGTTGTGAGGAAAAAGATACACCTTAATGTAAGACCAAGCTCAATTTGATGACTGCACACAGACTCTATATCATTCCAATAAATGGGCATGTGCATGTAAATGTGTCCTGTTTTTTTTTTCCTACATGATGGAACATGTAAATCAGTCATAGAACAAATTGTACTTTCTAGATTGAAGTTTCTTTTATTTCAATTCTGGAAAATTGCTTATCAATGGAAAAAAAAAGTTATCTGAGTTCAGGCACATCATTATCAGCCCAAAATAATTAGCTTGATGTGAATTAAAATAAAAATCCCTTATCATAGCGCTTTCAATGTTTTTACAGGTACAACGAATTGGATCAGGGCTTCAAATGTACTCAAAAGTAAATAGAAACTGACAGTTATAGTTATTCTGAAATGCATCTTTGACTTGTGAATGAGTGCCTTGTTTATTTGAACATACAATATAAATATAAAGGGAAACTATCACATTCTAATGTGGTCTGGGGCGATCAGACCAAAACTTATGAATGAAGGGAGCTCTCACTTTGATGCTACCGACAAGGATAAAGTGCAGATGTCTTGTTCCATTTAGGATATTAAGTTTGTGTTACAACTAAGAACTCCTGAAATGATTTTGCATTGAATCAAATCAAAGTCTATTTAAAGGTGAAAGTCTGAGGTCAGCGCAAATTCCAAAACACAAGCTCTGCAAATACCAAAAAACTGTAAACATGTATTCCTACATGTGTGTAACATTAAAACATTTAAATTTGGAGGAGTAGCACAAAAACCCTGTTTTACACTGTGAGCAGATTTTGAATTTGAGGAGTCAGCTCACTTCTTCCAAGGTTGAGCATAATTACCTGCAGAACAAAGATGAAAGTGTTTTTCATATACTTCGGGTAATCAAGGTGCAGGGCATAAATTAGGCAAAGAAGAAGACGGACGGCCTGAGGTAGGTTTGCCACGTTGTCCATCACCACGCTGCCTTCCAAGATGATCCCTACTGTGGATGAGTTGAGGATCGTCTTCATCCATGCAGAGGATTCCCACTGCAGTTTGACTTTATGATCCGTTGTCATTTACATCCTAACAGAGCAAGAAACAAATGGACAAGCAGAGGACATTATCATGCAACCTAGATAATGTAGACTTTTCTGAAAAGTGTTGCACAACATAAACTGCACTGACAGTAACTGACTTCACACACTTTGAGGTTTTTGTTGCTAGTCAGCTCAGCAGACTATAACCCCCTTCCAGTCATACTGAAAAGATGTAAAATACTGCTCCCAGAAACTTACTCAACCTCTTTAACAACAAAACTCCTCCCTCTTACACATTTGCCTAACTTCCAAATAGTGAAAAAGGAAAAAAAAAACAAAGCAATTTAAGTCAAATGGAGAAGGACTAATAGGTCTTCAATTTCTGGGAGCACTTTCTGTCTTGTAGTCTTTTAGGCATGGTTGACACTGAAAGCAGCACTGCAGACTGAAGCAGAACATTTTATTTTGAGCCCATTTTACAGTCCAATCTTCGAGTTTATGTTGTGTCATAAATCAAAAATACAAAAACATGTTTTTATGAATTTTTAGCCATATTGGAAGTCCAAGTGTGTTGCTATCCAAATGATTCTGAAGATTAGTAGCAGTCTTCATTAATGGCTTAACATGAAAAAACTATGCCTTAAACATTTAAGACAAATTAAGGTACTTACAGAGCAGGTCCTGAAGAAGGCAGAGGGATCCTCCCCCAAGATGCCCGGCTGTCCCCTAAGAATGAGGCACCTGATATCATTGACCTGAAAGATAGTGGACGTAGAAAACAACAATAAAACAGTTTGTCAAGGATAGTTACGTTTTCAGCAAATGAAATCTGCATATTCTCCGTTTTTTGATGAACTCACTGCAAATGTCCAGCAGTGGAAAGTGCAAGACAAAGATTAACAAATGGAGATGAAAGAAAAGTGATGAGAAAAAAGAAAGGCACCACAGAGAGCAAAATGACAGAAAAGAAAATATTTGGAGAGAAAGGAATAAAGAAGGAGAAGGGGGTGTAGACTGATGTAGACAAGTCAACTCACCTTTGTCTGATGGATAAGCCCAGTCAAACTCTGGCCGGTTAGGCCCCTCTTCTTCCTAAAGACGTCCATTAGGCTTGGAGAGAAACAGTCAAGGGCATTAAAGAAGTTCTCTCTGAGACCTTTCCCCACCACTCTGTTGAACTTGCAATAGACCTGGAGCATATTACAAAGCAAACAATGCATAAGCCCATGTTCAAATGGCTCTAACGCTGATCCTTTACACCAGATTTGGTGAACCACTCCCAGATGGTTGTATATATAATCTGAATATTTTATTCAACATTACACTCAGAACACAAGGCCATTGAATCATTTTTGTGAACACTCAAGTCATACAAACCTGGCTCTCTGTGAAAAGAGCTGGCCATCACTACAACATCTGGTCGATGGGAGGCTTGTTTTTGATAACTTCTTTTCTCCGAAGTGCAAACGTCACATCCATCTCTTTTGTAACAAGGGAAGCATTTGACTTCGTCTTCATCATTTCTGTAACCAGAACCTGACGAGCTACTTCCAGGTTGTGGTCATCCTTCGCCTCTGGATTTTCAGGTAGGAAATGTATTTCCCCTTTCCTTGGCTTCTTGACGCCTTTGTTGGGAGGGTCACCATCTGCAGAGCACCTTTCCTGTTTACCACCAGAGGCATCAAGTCGACCTAGCTGGCACATTTTGGTTCTATAATTACCCATCTTAAACTTCAAACTTTGGGGGAGGATGACCCTGATTCTTTGAGACAACATCTTTAAACTCTTACTTGGTTGGGTATGTTGCGTTTCAGTCTTTTCATCACTTTGAGATAAGTTGCATCCCTGAGACACAACAGGTTACCCTGACGGAGTCGGTACTCTACATCCAAACAGAAAATTTGGGAATTTCAAATACGTCTGGCTACTGAAAACTTGGACAGGATATCAGTGCCGGCCTGTGTCACTGCAGAAATCAGTTGAATCAGGCTGCTCTTCTTTTAGCAGTTCCATCTTTTGTACAAAAAGGTTACCTGACGGCTTGTTAACCTCTCTCACATTACATGCATAACTTCCATGTATAGTGTCTGAATAGTTGTGTTCTTTTTCACAGATCATTACTTGCACTTCCAAAGCATCGCTTTTCCTGTGACCTGGCCAACACTAACAGACAATTGATTTAAGTTTGACTGGTATATCACAAATACAAATATTTATATCAATTCTGTATTTTCAGACTGTTACTTTAAAATAGATGACATGAAGGCCACGTGTGTCAGTCCATGTTTGGTGGATGCTTTCAAGTTTTCATAACCACACCGCATTTTCAGAGAACATGGTCACTGATCAAAGTCTTCACTGCTCATGGAAGGCTAATAAAAAATACAAAATAAAGTCATGGCTGGACTGGTTGACGTCTCACCGAGAGCCACCGGAATTCAAACACACGCTTGCCACCACGTGACGGCTAGCTAGTGTAGCAGGCTAGCTAAAATGAGCAGTATCAAAATGTGTATGGTCGCGAGTGTTAGCTTACTAGCGCTCACCAGATTAAACAGACCGCACCACAGCAGTTGCGCCGCCGTCTTCCTCGCTTCTCTTCTCTTCTGGATAAAGTTGCGAGACCCGGTGTGCTACACCCGCTGTTCCCCTGTGCCGGAGTGTAGCTTCACCTTCCTCAGCCGTAAACAAAAGTAACAGGCGGGAAAGCACCTTCTTCTTCGTCGTCATTTTCCTCTTTACAGGTGCATGTCGCCACCTATGTCTCAAGGTGTGTAACAGCATGACTTTGACGTCTAACTCATTATGAGGATATTTAATCTACCTGTAATTCTTTTAAATAAAGATCTTTGAACATGTAACTGTTTTTTTTTTGACAGGAAAATATTTACTTTTCAGAAATGAAATGAAATTATTTAAGATGAAGTATTTAAATATAAAGGGCCTTTTCTGGGGTAATGAAAACTACAATTCATACAATTTAGAAGAAGTGAACTGTTGAAAACATCATGAGGATTATTCTACATTATATTTCTGCCAATAGTTCTCAAGTTTATACAATCAACACTTAACCATTTTAGTATAATTCACATAAAGGTTATCCACCCACTGCACTACTAACAATTCTAAGTATATTCTACTTCACATTTGTACAACATACTTACATTTAATAGTAATCATACTTAAATTGTTTGTGTACATTCAAATGAAATGTTCAAGTAAATTGTGTTATGGAATTTTCACTGTCTCTTGTCCTCTCCTGGACAACACATATATTAGACTGCATAGGCAGGCAATACTGTCTCCATAACTAGAAAATACATTTGTTGGTTTAGGAACTAGCAGACCCATAGATTAAATGATCTACTAGCTACTAGCCTTATCAACAAGGCCCGGAACCACCCTGACACTCTTTCACACTCCACCTCCGCCTCCATATGTCACATTGACACTGCATTCACAACTCTATGTGTTACATTAACGCTCAGCTATATACTTATATTGGAAATGCTCTGGATACTGTGAACACTTGCACACTGTACTTACTCAGCTGTACTGCTCTTCTTATTTTTCCTTTTTTACCTTCAAAAACATACTATTTATATTGTTAAATTTGAATACTTGATTATCTTATCTTCTTATATTTAGAGATGTCTGACATGCACAAACAACACCAAAACAAATTCCATGTCTACATAAACTTACTTGGCAATAGAAGCTTTTCTGATTCTGATTCTGATCTGTTGGGGTTTAAAGTGTGACTGCAGGAAAGCAGACTTCAGAATATGAGAGAGCATCATGCACAGATGTTGTGTGGATGAATTCTGATTTTCTCCTTGGCCAACCTCCTGAACGCTTTCTTCACTGATGAGTTGACCATTGATCAGTAGATTCTCACAACACATTTGTTATCATTTTTGTTGTAATCGTGAATTTCAATCAAATTTCTGATTAAGTGTATTTCAAAACTTTGACATAGTTTTTGGCCTCAAAAGCCAAAACCTATAAAATAATGAATGACGATCTCAAATGCAGCTCAAAATGCTTTTACAAAAAACACAATCAATCAGTGCTTTCAAAAAGAACGATGTAAAATTGAAACTTTACTCCACATTATATTTGCAGGTATGTTGACCTAGTAGTTTGGCTCAAACTGTAGCCTCATTTAATTTCAAACTTCTTGGCACAATTGCGCATCCATGCGTTTGACATAATTTCCGCTGAAGTAGAAGTGCCACCTAAACTTTGCTGTGACATCTCCCATAAGGATCAGTCAGGCTCTTGAGCAGAGTAGATCACGCGCGCGCACACGCACGCACGGCCGTCGCTGCAGGCTGCATCCTCCCTCTCCAGCAGCAGCAGCTCCTGTGCGCGCGGAGCAGCCGCCGCGCTGCGTCTCCTCCTGCAGCCACCGTGTGCAACGGTGCATCGGCGGATGATCGAGTCCTGTATCGGCAAAAAAAAAAAAAAAAAAAACCCATCCACAGCCGCATGGTGACGTCACGCCGCTGAAAGGTAATCGTGGCTGGGCGTGTTGGTTGATAGGAAGGAGGGAGGTAGGGAAGGGAGATGTGGTCGGGTGCCGCGCGGACGCCAGGGTTAGATAGGTGCATTGAACCCCCGTCTCCACACACACGAGGAAAATAAACACTCGAGTGTAATACAGGCTGCTGCTCGAGGTGTGCGTGGACGTGCACGCGACTGTTTTGCTGTTTGTTTTTGTTTATTCGTCGCGTGGGGAGTGTAGAGGCTGTCACGGCAGCCTGCAGGCGGAGGATGGATGCGTAACAGGACGGATCGAGCCAGCTGTGGCCTGCTTCTGACGGCAACATCTGGCCGGTGAGTCGTTGGCGGCTCGTTTTCTCGCGCGGGAGGCTCGGTTCGAGTCCCGCTGTCCATCCTCGTGAGTCGGTGTGACCTCGTCCTTGGCTGCCGGACGGTGACTGAGTGATCGATGTGCGCGTTTGACTGACAGGCTGCGTGTGACATGTGATGGAGGCTCATTTGAGGCTGTGTATGTGATGGAGAGAATGAACGTGACATGCTGGGCAATGCATTCACTGCAGGGTGCATGCAATCCTGCAAATGCAATGCATGAGCTATTACTGTTACAACTGTTTGGGTAATTGCATGCATCAACGGAGGGTTAACCTCCCACTTGATAGCCTCAGGAAATTAAATATATACATTTATATAAACACACAAAGGAAAGCACAATAATGTATCATTGAGCCTCCTTATGGATCCCTATAGAAATCAATACTACAGGTACATGTGAGTCCACTTATAGGAATATTCTAGTGCTATAGGAAGGTCACTGGGATATTAGAGAGGTTTAAAATTTCACCCAGTTTAAGGTCAAAGTGAATCCCTTCTGGATTATCATAGTGGGTGAAACACAATATGGTCACAACATGGTAAACACTCTGACACACTCAAGCTCCCAGTGATTCTCTGTGCATTGTTTCTCCTCCTTGTCCACATCCTGACCCGCTTGTAGTCCTTCTGCAGGGTCAGAGAGGGCGCCTCTGCAGCCAGCCGGCCCCTGACTGTCGCGGGGGGGAGAGGTGGAGGCGATGGAGGAAGGGGACGCGGAGGGGGAAGGGCCCATGGCGGTCAGAGAGGGGCCGAGCGGCCGCGGCCTCCCGCCGGGCACTGGCAGCACGACCACCACCACCAACCTCCTGGCGTCTGTCAAAGAGCAGGTAAGGAGGCACCTCTCCTGGTCTCAGTCTCTTCTGATCTGTGCTGCTGATTATGTGGCTGCGCTCTTTATCTTCTCCGAATCAAGGATCTTATCTTGTCCAGGATGTAATCCACCTGTCCTGCTCTCACTGAGACCCTACTGCACAGCAACACCCGTCTAATTTATGAGGCTACAATCCCAAGGGCAGGTGGAGAAGGTTGCGAACGACAGATTAAAAAAATGCATGGCTGCATTTGTAAAATGTGCTTTGTAACAAGCTGCATGTTTTTTATATTTACAGTATTTAGACTGCAAATAAATAACTGTCAAATTAACAACATGCAATATGAAATAAGTAATTGCTGCTATGTATGATTCCGAATAGCGATCAGCCATGGACACATCATGAGACAAAAGGCCCCTGACGTCTCTGTGTCTGTGTCGTCATCTCAATCATCATTTTGTGGTCATTTTCAGCCTCACTGCGCTTGTTTTGCATCTCTTTGTAGTAATTTTTAATTCGAAGCCTGTGACTCACCCAATTTTACCGAGCAAATCCGAGTTTTATCTCCAGATGAGACCAAAATGCAACGGGTCTCCGGGCTGAACCTGCAGTTGCGCCCATAATTGTGGACACGCTGGATTTGCAGAGAGATGACTTACAGCAGATCACATGAGGTCACCAGATGATTTTTTTTATCATCCCCGTGAATGGAGCTCTATATGAACTGACGGCGCCGTTATCAAAGTCGTTCTTGTTTATCACACATTACAGTTGCAGTTTTCGTCTTCTGGTTCTGATTAAACTGAAGCGTCTCTCCAAAAAATGTCCTCTGTAGACCCTGTCTCCTGGTCCCTGCTCAGTGTGACAACAGTAACATGCTGTAAAGTTTAATTAATGTCTCAGAAATACTGACACATTTGAATTGGAGTGTGGAACGTTAATATGAGCTGACAGCCGGAGATGTTTTCTGCCACTAACTTTTTTTGGTATTGAGGCTAGAGACACTTGCAGCCTCAGTCGCTGTTATTTTTATGTTTCTTTTTCGCTCTGAGTCTTTCTGTTCCCCCTGCTCTCAATAATGCCTGGACAGTGGCCATGTTCTCAACTAAGTCCCCCGGTGTGTGCCTCTAAATCAGGCGCACAGCTATTTAAAGAAAAGAGAATCGGCTCTGACTTTTAATCTGCAATTCCTTTTCTGCAAATGGACAAAAATTGCGGGCTTTTCTGAAGGGTTGCTTCAGCTTCCTTGATATCTGCTGTGGTCCTTGATGTACACAGTGGGAGCAGCTCTGACACCCCTCGAAGTCTCTCTTTGCAGCTGGAAACGTTTCTCATTTCACATGAATGCATGACTGACGCATTGGTTTCCTGTAGATGCAGTGTGCTGCAGAGCAGGAGTTGCAGGTGTTGGATATATCCAACAATCATTCTTGCTAAGAACTCCTTGCACATAGTCTGCCATGTTTGATCTGCATGTTCACAGGTGAGCTGATAGAACAACTGTAGACTTGGTGGAATGTCCCATGCATTTCACATTTTGCTGAGGTCACATTGAGGGTTGTCAGTCCACCCAGGGGCATTGCAACAGGGAAGGCAAAGCAGCCGATTACATTCAACAGCAATTGCAGTGGAAAGCCCCTTAAATTCTATGATCCTAACAAGGTCCTGTGCCACAAACATTCAGATGGTTCGGTTGGTTTGATGCTTTTTTTCTTCTTTACTATTATTTCTGTGTATGCATTGCATGACCTTTGTTTGTGATTTTGATATTAAAGGAATCACTTGGAGATTCGATGTGGTTTGGCATCATGTGTTTCCTTTGTGTGGTTGGGGGTCTTACCCCTTGTCCTTTTTCCCTCAGGCCCCCAAAGTCCCCTGAAAGTCAGAGCGTCGTTCAAATCGCATTTAAGGTGTGAATGAATGGTGATACATTTTTCCTCCATCTTCAGGGGCGTATAGTTATATTTTAACAGCTGACATAGTTACGACTGCGTTCTAAACTTAGACGTCAACGAGAAAGCAAACATTTAATCTTGTAGC